AAATACTAAATTGCTGAGTAGATGTGCCCTCCTCACTCAAAGGAAGAGAAGAAAAAGTAACTATCACAAGGAGCCTTTATCTTTGATTTCTCGCCACTGGACACTTGAAGATTAGTTTAAATTTTACTACTTCATTGAAATCGATTGCTTGTTACACACATGTGATTTAATTGTTTTATTAATTATAACCTTCACAACCCCCCCAACCCCCCTTTCCCTCAATCCCAACACCCTTCAACAGAATTTAAACGAAATATGTTTCTGTCCATCACGGTTGATTTAGGCCAAGAGAAACACGTTCCGACCAAAAGAAATAAGAGAGCTGTAAACTTTTACCCCAAAAGAGAATCGTAGCCATGTGTCTTTTGTTAGACAGCCAAAGAATGTACCCGCTCCAGCACACAGGTCGGAGATGGGACTCATGTACCGTGGATGGTTGATGGTACAAAATCACACAGGTTGAAGATGGGACTCATGTACCCTGGACCGTTGATGGTACAACATCACACAGGTCGGAGATGGGACTCCTGTACTCTGGACCGTTGATGGTACAAAATCACACAGGTCGGAGATGGGACTCCTGTACCCTGGACCGTTGATGGTGGATGGTACAACATCACACAGGTCGGAGATGGGACTCCTGTACCCTGGACCGTTGATGGTACAAAATCACACAGGTCGGAGATGGGACTCCTGTACCCTGGACCGTTGATAGTACAAAATAACACCGACGGGACAACAAAGACTAGGTGTCCGCATTGTGGAAATATCCACGAGTAAAACAGAAAACAGGGGGATCGTGATTGATCAAATATAGCCGGCCATGTTTCAACAAGGAAGGAAAACTTTGACCCATAATATTGCGAGCAGCTATCTACCTACTGAAGGTTATTACAAGAGAGTTCGTTGTCGCTTGTTGAATATAACAAATAGAAAAAGAAATCCTTTGGGAAAAAAGAAAAACGATTGAGGTGATAGAACTCTAGCTCGGTTGCAGACATGCCGGACTAAAATGTTAATACTGATGTGTTTAGTACAAAATTTCTATTGAGTTGAGTCCTGTTTGTTTGAGCTGTTTTGGCTAATTTCAAATATAATATAGTTCTTTTTTAAGTGTCTGATTATGTGTGTTTTTTTTTTGGGGGGGGGGGGCGTCTCTCTCTCTCTCTCTCTCTCTCTCTCTCTCTCTCTCTCTCTCTCTCTCTCTCTATCTCTCTCTCTCTTTCTCTCTCTCTATCTCTCTCTCTCTCTCTCTCTCTGTATGTGTGTTTGTGTTTGTGTCTGTGTGTTTGTATGTCTGTGTATGTGTGTGTGTGTGTGTTTGTGTGTGTGTGCGTGTGTGTGTTTGTGTGTGTCGTGTGTGTGTGTTTGTGTGTGTGTGTGTGTGTGCGTGTGATGTGCATTTATGTATAACTATCGTATTTGATCGGAGTATATAGAGGTAAGGTGGGTAAAGTTGGTTTGGGAGAGGGGGGGGGGTTGCGCGAGGGGAAAATAGATTGCAAACTCATGTCAGAGCCAATACACATACTGGCAGACACTTAAAAGCTGCAGTCCGATCGCATCTACATAGCGCGTGCTTTCTAAACCCGCTCACAGTTCCTGTCTGTACATTAGTCCAGGAGTGAGCGAAATTAATCTTCCCATTCCCAGATTACAATCATTCCTGCTTGTCTGCGCGCCACGGCTATTCTGGGGTGGCGGGGGTGTGGGGGTGCGAGGGGGGATGTTTCTCATTTCTCTATGATGGCGCGTGTCCAAAAATAGATGGGATCACACAGATATGCAGCCTAGACAAATGAGATTTATTGCACTTTTAGTAGTAATGCTATGCTTGTTAGTTACGTGACTTCATTACTATAACATCCCTGCTGGAGAGAACCAGCGGTAAGACAGGGTGCCTCGTCCATTTTGTTGGCTGATCTGATCTTACTTTGCCCAGAAGATACAACAAGTGCGTACATTTTTATATATTTACAGCAAGGATATTTGTCATGTAACCGAAACCAGGGTTTTTTCTCTCTCTTCCTCTCCATTCCCCCTCTATTCCCCCCCCCACCACTCACGCCACACACACACACACTCTTCCTCTCATTTCCTCTCTGTCTATCGCTCTCCCTCACCCTGTTTCCCTTTGTCTTTCTCTGCTATATCTCCCCTTTTCTGTTTTAACCCTCCATATTCCTGTTTCACACTCTGTCTTCTTTCTCTATCTATACTTCTATAAAATACCCTCCCCACAGTAAAAACGAAAACTATATTTGGATTAGACGATCGAAACAAAAAAAAAAGAAACAAATATATAAAAAACCTGGTCGGAGGTGACCATTACACATGGGCGCATTGTCAACAAGAACACTTTAATTACTTGATGGAACCAGAACAGAAGCAACAAGGAAGGAAATAAAGACAGAACAGAAGAAGATGAGGTGGAACGGGATAACTTCAGTAATTACAACACACTTTATTAGTACACATTATTCTTACTGCATGGCACACGAGTGAGAGGAAAGCTAAATGTGTCATGACACGGTGGAGTCAGGCGCTTGTCAATTTTGGGGCATATGGAGTTCTTCGTATCATCTTAAAGCTTACTCATTTGTCTCGCATTTGGCAAAAAAACAACACCATTTTATCTAGAGCAGAAGTCGAGATGTTAGCGTTTGAAGGAGGTGGGGGTGGCTTGTATCAGAGGCAAAATTAGCCAGAAAATGGCCGCCTAAATTTGTTAACTTCGAAAGCTTGAGTGTCCTTGGTAACTGGATATTTCTTGAGGTTTTTTTTGGTGCCTTTTAACAATATTTTCCTGTAAATTCCCAACAGAAATGTGTTTTAATTGGAGGTAAAATATGTTGAGCACATTTTTTTTAATCGAAAAAAATTTGCCCAAAGATCAGAAATTTGCCGTTTTCTTTGACTTCGATATTTTGACGAGCGCCTGATTTCACCACGCTGCCTCACAAATGTCGTACGTAACTCGGCCCCCGACGCCCTATCTGTCTTTCTCTATCTATACTTCTATAACACCCTCCCCACAGTAAAAACGAAAACTAGATTTGAAGTAGACGATCTCTGTTCTACCTTTCAATTTCTCACTTGTATTAGTACCACCAACTCGTATGAATGAATCTTTCCCTTTCCCCAAGGCACGCACTGTCTGTGAATGGATGTATGGACCACATCTCGACTGTCACTGAGCACGGTGAGTGAGTCGTGCCAACGCGAGTGAGAACGGTCCCCCCCCCTCCTCCCACCTCTCATACTGTCACCAACTCGACTCGATCGAACAAGGAAACACAACCACATACCTACAGGTTCTGTCTCCGTCTTTTCTTTCTGTCGAATGACGTTACTTCTCAGCTCATTAGTTTGGTCTCTCAAATAACAATGAACGTACGTACCAGACTTAAGCCCTCAGGTTTGAAAAACTCCACACGTCCAGAAAGTTCGAGATGTAGCTACGTACGTATATAAGTGACCTGTCTTGCAGTCAACCTCATCAGTACTTACCTGTTCTTGTTTACTTCTGCTCGAAAAGGACTGGAACAGGTGAGATTGAATTTATGTACAGATAGAGGATCTAGTCATGTAACACAAAAAGCAACAGGGTTGAAAACTCGTACATGATGTTCTGCTTTCTTCCTTGACACCCAACATGTTTTACTTAAGTTTAAATAATATCCGTGGGTGGTTGGCGGGTGCTCTGATGTGGTTTGCTTCCTCTTTCCTATCAAACACCTATCGTCCTTATCTCCCCTTCTTCTTTTTATGTTTGCTACTCTCTTGTAACACATCTAATCTTCTGGCGCTCATATGACCTTATGCTCTTGAGAGCGCCGTAAAACCTCTACTAAAACTAAAGTAATATTCTTCCGGTCTCTTTTCTGGTAGATGAGAAGATATTAACAAGTACACGTATTTTCTTTTAGACAAGTGGGAACTTTTTAAGTTTCCCTGTCTGAGAAAGTGTACAAATAAATCAACGTAGGAGCACTTATGTAGGACCCTGCTCTTTATTTTCTCTGCCATTTTTTTGGGTAACAAGTGAGCATTGTCTACGAATTAAGAAATTTATGTTTTTGGGGGTCAAGGAAAAAACCCAAACGAAACAGATTTCAAATTATTATGTGATCTGTAATTTTTGGTCACCCTTTATAAAACAACAATCTAATATTAACTCATAAGATATATTTTGAAATAACCTTCTCTACTCTGTGTTCGCCAACATGTTTTATTAACATTACTGTATTTGAAATTGATTCCTAACTAGAAGAAGTGCCGGTAAGTGCAATAAGCACTGACTTGTAACCACATCATAGATACAACAGACACGCCACCCAGGTTTATGAAATGACAATTTAAGGGTTGACCATTGTACAGTGAAACATGTTGATAGTTTCAAGGAGATATATTTTGTAAATTTGTTTTTTTAGTTTACGCTTTTTTTTTTAGTGATATCGAAGCCAACTTTTTGGCGCTCATATGACCTTATGCAGTTGCGAGCGCCGTAAAACCCTCTACTATAGAAGTCAACTTTACTTACATGACTCTCCCTTGAAATTGCAGGTCCAAAGTTTCCACTCCCAGCAAGCCACCAGCCGGTCACTATGTCGAGTTGTGCGCGTCGTGTGTGTAACATGCTGCTGGCGCTGATGCTCCTCTCACTGTCTCTCCAGTCGTGTAGCGCCGGCAAGCACCAATATCACCACCACGAGCATCATCAAAAGGCCCACCACAGCCACAGCCACAGCCACAGCCACAAACACGAACATAATCACTATCAGCACGGTAGTAGCAGCAGCAGCAGTAGTAGCGGTAGTCTGGACTCTCTACTTCTTCTCTTGCCCTTCCTGATGGGAGCGATGGGAGGAGGTGCCGCCCCCGCTGCTGCCCCCGCCGCCGCCCCCGCCCCCGCCCCTCCAGGATAACTGCCCCCACCCCGATCCTAGGGGAAAGGATCCAAAACGACAAAACGAGCAATACCAGAATATCAGCTGATACCGTCTCACTGTCTGGATTATTGGTCCACCATCTACGTATCCTGGAATTTGCAATGGTGCTATCCCTTCCCAAGATAACTAGTTACTTAATTCTATCACCTGATGATTGTAATTGGAAAGTTATTTTTGCAGGAAAAAAAACGATAAATAAAATTAACAGTTTCAAAATACTGTCCTGCTTTTGTTATTTGATTAAAGAAAAAATATATAAATTCTCTCCCTCTCTCTCTCTCTCTCTCTCTCTCTCTCTCTCTCTCTCTCTCTCTCTCTCTCTCTCTCTCTTTCTCTCTCTCTCTCTTTCTCTCTCTTTCTCTCTCTTTCTCTCTCTCTCTCTCTTTATATATTATATATTATATATATATATATAATATGTATATAATGTATATATTATATACATCAATACACTATTCTTCATGACGTAGCTATTTTTCCTTTGCTGTCTTCACCCGATCCACTTTTTTGTCATCTTGAAAAAGTTTGTCTACATTGCTTGTGATTTGATATATTCAGTTACCATCACACTCTTTGTTATGGACGAGTAGTTCAGTTGAACACCTTTATTTTAAAGTACTACCGGAACAACTCAACAGAATATGTATATTAGATTGTTGGCTCTTTGTCATGCATAGATCCAGGGAAATGTGTATTAGATTGTTGGCTCTTTGTCATGCATAGATCCAGGGAAATGTGTATTAGATTGTTGGCTCTTTGTCATGCATAGATCCAGGGAAATGTGCTTGACTGCGAAAGTAAAACAGAAATAGTCTTGTAAAGACACCAATAACCTAAGGTGGTAAATATGTGACGTGTGTGAACACCTTGAGCGCCTCATAGAATAGTGAAGCAAAAGTAATTACAGAAGTCTAACTGCCAAGTATAAAATCAACGAAAAAGTCATTGCACGTGAACTGGTCCTGGGGCTGCAACTAGAACATAAAAAAGAACAACCTTTTTACTGGTACGAAAGACGTTTTGTAAAGGGTATACCAATTTTTATCATCAACATCATTGTCAAGAGCACACTGCGATTAGAAATATGCTTTAGTCACGCGCAAGATACAGGCAGGAAAAAGAAATAATTCTTTAAAAGGATCAGCCAAAATTGCGTCAATAACTATTAAAGGCGAACTACTGTTTAAAACAGAACAACCTCTTTACTTGTTCGAAGACTTTTTGTAAGGGGTATGATATCATCAACATCATTGTCAACAGCAGACTGTGATTATAAATATGCATTAGTCACACGCAACATACAGGAAAAAGAAATAATTCTTTAAAAAGGATCAGCCAAAATTGCGTCAACAACTATTAAAGGCAAAGAAAAAAATGGCTGTTTATTTTAACATATTGTTATGAATTTGAAGCTCTAAAAAAATTACTAAAGCTGACCCCCCCGAAAATATCTCGTCAAAATTAGCACCAAAAAGATTTAGGAAAAAGTGACACATAAAGCGAGAAGAAAATTGAAGTTTACTTGAAGTCACATGTGGAAATTTACGAAACTAAACCTAGGGGAAAGAAAACGCAGTAAATCTATAAGGAAGAATGATGTGTACATGATTTATTGTTAGTATAAATCATATTAACATGAATATTGCATAATATTATACATAAATTGAGTAAAGTTTTACTTGGAAATCGTTTTGACTGATATTTGTTGACATACAATATCAATGTATTTTACCAATGTAATACTCGTGTCGTCTTATGACAGTTAAACAATACTTTATAATACTGAACCTGAGTGTGTCTAGTTTGTGTGAAGAGCTGGCTGTACTGCGTATAGCTCCTTCCCTCTTTCTTATCTTTAAAGGTTCAAGTGTTCTCCTTCGACATCTTTGCTTTTTAAATTATCTGTAAAACTGATTATATAAACGCCTGACAAACTTTGGTAAATTTCAGAACTGTTTCTTTGTTGATCTTTCCCTATTCATCTATATCCTAGTAATGAAATAATGGCTTCTCAAGGCTGATTTATAGTAACTTCTGCTCCTCTTTAATTTTTCACAATGTTAGTCATGAAACCAGGGTTAATCGAACATTTAGAACTAAATTAGCACAAGTCTGAAAAAACTATACAGCAATATTCAGTTTTCCTTTTCTTTTAAAGTCTTGAGAGAGTGTCGTAAACGTTCCTTAATCAGTCTATATAAACAAAAATATCGCGTGAGGAACTAATCATAAGTCTACAACGAAACTAACCCGTTATTATTTCCACCGTTATTGAAACAAAGTGTTTGTTCCTAAAAAATAATTTCCCTGAAAGTTCGCGTTCCCCAAATTATTAACATTGATTTCTTTTACTGGTACTTTTTCAGTCTAGGATTGGATGATAATTAGTATTATACAAAAAGTAACGTCAATGTATACAGAAATGTGTTTGCATATCACTTATAAATAAGAAATATGATTCGTAAATTGCGAACATTGTACCAACTTAATTAAACAAATTTAGAAATTTAGCGGGTGATAGAGTACAATAAAATATCACTAGGCTTCAATCGGTGCAGTCTCACTCTTTGTTCAGAACACCGTGTGGTCGACAGTGAGGACAGGGGCTCAATTTCCCTCACATACGACATGAAAACAAATAGACAAAAAATATATAAAAAACCATCAACCTGAATTTAGAAAAGCACGTTCTCAGAGAAATATCACAGGGTTCTCTAGATTTAAAGACCGTTCTGCAATTAGCTACTGGAAATAAAAGCCCAATGCATAGCCCCATCAAGAACCTAAGTAACTGTGAAAAGTGTCAGAAATTGTTTTCGGTAAACCATTGTGCTCAAAATCAAATCTTTCAATCAAGGTAATTTTATTTCAATAAAGACTGTATTTTATAGGTCTCCGTGGAGAGAAAATTTGAATTGTTATACTGTATTTGTATTGACTGAAGGCACAGCCTATTCACTGTGGAAGCAATATCTTGGAAGGCCATGTGTATCACTTTAGTGAGGAGAGTTTACTGATTCTTTACCTTGTAAAATTTATCTTCACTGCCACTTCGCTGTCAGTTAGATGTCAGAGATATGAGCACTATAAGTAACGAGGTTCGTGAGCAGGTTGAGCTCTACATGTCCGTGTTGATCACAGGACCTATGACACTTCTGGGAATCGCAGCAAACTTGATCAACTTTGTCATATTTCTGAAACAAGGCGTTAAAGATTGCTTGTCTGTCTGTCTTTTCGCACTCACTATCTCCGACTTTTGCAGTGTCCTAAATGGAGGTGCCTTTTCGGCGTTTAATATCCTTCAACACCTGGATGTAGACTCTGTCATTGATCCCGTCGGTTTGGCGTTCATCATGGCCTACAGCTGCGCCGTTTTCTACGATATTTCCCAAGGAATCATCGCGTTTGTCACACTAGAACGCTGTCTGTGTGTGGCGATGCCTCTCAAGTTTAAAGACCTCTTCACTTTTCAAAGATCTCTTTACGTCGTGATTTTCATATATACTCTGTGTATAGGGGCGTATGTCCCACATTTTGCGACGAGCGGTCTACACTGGCGTCATGACCCCGTCACTAACTCATCCAAGATCTTTGTGTGGTTGTCTGACAACAGAGTCGAGGTTGACCTTTATCTGAACACATTCATGCACGTCACAATGCCCACTCTGTACCAGGTTGTAGTTGTGGCCAGTACCCATGTTATGGTCATCGGGCTCAAAAGATCCACAAAGTTCAGGGAGAGGAAGAAGACAGTGGAAAAAGCTGTCACAGACAAGGAGGCGACAAAAGACCATCAGAAAAACAACATAGAGAAAATACCCCACGAGGCGAAACAACATCGGACAAAGGACAGTTCTTCGTCGCTTCAGAACCGACGAGTGATCAAAACCGTCACTGCTCTCGCTGTCATCTTTCTCGTCTCCAACACCGTCCGGCTGGTCATCATTTACACTGTGATGTCCATTCCTGATCTGCAGTATTTCCAACGTTTTCACAACGAATTAGTTATAGCAGGATTGGTCCTCTTTGTGTTTCAGACCATCAACTCTTCCGCCAACACTTTTGTTTACTACCATTTCAATCCGAGCTTTAGAAGTATGTTCAGATCTCTTTTCAGTAAAACTCGAAAAGATGGATAGAATTTTTCTTTTGAGTGGGGCCACTCAATATTTTCTTTGTGAAATAATATACACTATTTATCTCAGAAGTTGCCATATGTGCTAACCTTATACTCTCCTATGAATTCCTGCAATAAAGATTATTTCTACAGCGCCCACTTTCTAGTGGCTCTAACTGTTTCAAAGTGATCTAAAATTTGGACAGCTTGTACAATGTCACATTCTATTTATACCGGTCAGGTCGTGTATAACAGGCTGTCGTATTCATATACACCCGAAATTTACCTATTTTGACAAAAGATCACAAACCACATACACAAAAAGACAACCACCATGGATGCTAGTCACACTTGTTGTTGGAAGAAGAATCAAACATGCGGGAAAAAAATAATGTATATTATAAAATAAATATCGTGTCTCCAGAAGAGTTGTGAATTTGGTTAATATACGCGGAGATGCCTCTCCTAAATGTATTGGGAGGAAATTCTACATATAGATAACAACTGTTTTGCCATGTAGTAAGTTGCCTTTCAATAATGGATTATAAATTTAGAGATAGAATATACACCTGTATCTATTTAGCAAGAAATTATATATGCTATATTCTTTTGATATGTATACCACATTACGGAAACTCTGTAATTGATACGTCCT